ACGAGGCAAGAGAGACTGTAGTAAGACCTAGGGAAGGAGGACAGCGTAACAATATGGCAGAATCTGAAGAACCTTCCTAACACAAAGAAGAAGGGGGTGAGAAGGACAGCGTGGAGTGCGGATAATTTTCATGAAATCCGCTTAAAAGGGCACACTCTACCACATTTAATTAAGCAAGCAAAAATTGTGACAGGGAAGCCATGATAGGAGGATATAGGAAATGTGAATAGCCCAGGGCAGAAGGGGAGATACCACAACTGTTTACCACACGTTTAGTCAAAGGTTGGGCTTCACTCGTCTCTTTTGAAGAGTTGAAATATGGTGCTACGAATGGCGAAACTCACTGGCGATGCCGACTACGATTCCAGCGAAACGTCTGGGAATGTACCACATCCACGGTCATACTCTGGAAATGATTATGCATACAATGGACTTCGGACAAGGTGCATTCCTCTAAGTCTTTCTACTAATATGACCAAGTTGCGAAAACAAGGTTAAACAACTTCCATACAACGAAAGGAGACTGCGAACACACAAAAGGCCACACTATCTTGGTCTTCATACTTTTAAAACGTAAACTGTCAATAAGAGATCCTTTATCCATCTTATCAGGGCCAAGTGCATTACAATTGACTCTAATCATATAGAATTTTCAGGACATCAATGAATAAGTCAAAAGAGGAAATCATTTTAACAGCTCTGGATCGCTCTCGAGGAGTTCGGTGCTATTACAAAAGTATATATGTCATTATCTTGAATGTAGCCAATTAAAGTGAAGGGGCTATGGTTACTTAAGAGACATCATATTAAGCGAATGAGGTAAGTGCCGAAAGGGAGGACAATAGAAGGAACAACAGAGGATTAGAATGGATGTTACGATTTTAATTCATCCGAGCGACAATAAGCTGAATACCTATGCCGCCAAAATCAAAGCGTGGGTTTATACAGATGAATTTTATATAAAATATACAATAACAAAAAGAAACATATTCAACTGAATAGAGTTGTTTGACCTTGTTTTCGCAACTTGGTCATATTAGTAAGAAGACTTATAGGAACGCACCTTGTCCTGAGTCTATTTTATGCATAATTATTTCCAAAGTCGGACCGTGG